GTGCGCAAAACACCTACTTATACTTTGTTTACTCTAACCATTAGTAATCACAGCTAATCTAAGAATTGAGACTGAAAATTTTGAAAAACTGCCAAACTTGGGCGTGGCAAAAACCATGTGTTCGAAAGTTTGGCAGTTTTTCGGTGCCACAAAAGCAAATGGTTTGGAAATATGACTTTTGACAAGAAGAAGAAAAGGTGCATCGGATAGAACTGTTCAAGAACTGTTTACCTCATTTTATTCCAAGTGTTTTTATGGCAGGTCGAAAAAACGGAAAAAAACTTTCGCAGCGACCTAATATTTTGGAAAAAATATGGTATGGGGGATCGGCTTGTTGATCACAAATATGGTACTTATCAATGGAAAGTCTTTGACTTTGGCAATTGATATAGGCCTTTTGGTGCATGATCAAGATAGGTTATCACCTGTAATTTTATTATTTGCTCCACAAAAATGCTTCTAACAACCATCTGACTCGAACGACACTTTTAGCTATGTTGTCATTGTTTCAGTTGTGCTTCTCAAAATTATGGTGTGATGGTTGAAAAAAGCGTTGTCACCACACACTTATTGAGCATTTATCGCTAAAACGACTGAGTGTTGTTTACTTCCTGTTAGTCACCGGTACTTTATTCAGAAAGGAACAATCACCCCAAATAAGTCTCAGAAGTCGGAGACTTTCTTCCCTTTCTTGTTTGCTTCTGTCTTTTGCTCATGTAAAAAGTTCCTGCCATCTTCATTTGTTCCAAACCCTTGTCCATTTGCCTTGTACGTGGGAGTTTTCTTCGTCCATGCAGCAGGTTCATCTTCTACGAGAAGCAAAAACGGAATATTGGTGATCACCACGAAAATGCTTAGACCAATGAAGAGGCGTGACCACTGAAAATCAAATTTATTCTATAATATTTTTCGCAACACTTTTTGAAAATTCCCTCACTTACTTCTTCGGCAGTGTTATTGGGACAGATGATTGTGACAAGTACTGGCAAAAAGAAGCTCATTACGCATCCAATAACAGTCATGCAAACAATGACAAAGTGTATGTATTGTCTAGCCACCTTAAAAGTGTGATTACTCCGTCTTTACACGAAATGCTTGATTTCTTACCACTTGAGCACAT